TTTTTTTAATGGGAAAAAGCAAGGAAGTCCATTATCATGAAAAACATGAGGCCGGGAATTCCTCACAAACAACCCGAAAAAGAAAGAACGTCCCAGAACGGGGACCTTTACCCAGCTTCGGTTCGTGGGCCTTACCCCAACAACACTTGGTATCTTTCCAACAGAGCAAGAAAATGCAAATAAAGAAAACCGGACAAAATAAACAACAAACCACAAATCGTTTATCACTATTCTACTCCCGACTGTCTCTATCCTATCTCCTTCTAGCCTATACTCTACTAGAAGGAAATAGGATAGAGACGGTCGGGAGTTCCGCTGTTTTGTGAATAGCGCGCCTGTTTTTCTTGTGGCTCTTGCAATCCAGATCTGAGGATCGTGCGGTGGTTCTCTGGCCCCAGCTCTAGGTCGGGACTATTTTGCAGCGAGTCTGTTCCGCCTGGTCCCACAGACTGGGTCTCTGTAATAGACATTTCGTTAAAAAAAGGACATTTAAAAAATAATAATAATAAAAAAAATAAAAAAATAGAAAAGGGACATTTGAGATCTTCTTCTGAACGGCATTGGCACCCACTTATTTGGCCCTAATAATGTCACCTTTTGAAAACGCCGGACCCCCTTGGATGTATCTGGACTTCACCCAAGTCAAGACAGACCCTCAGGGGCGCGGTCCCACTAGCAAAGAGGATGGGATCGAATGCCTGCATCTGGACGTGTTTGTGGAGAGGTGCAGGAAATCCAGATTGAACTGCTTTTCTGCATCTCTGCATACAACACATCCAGATTCAGGCATTCGATCCCATCCTGTTTGCTAGTGGGACCTCGGCCCTGTAGCTAAAACCCTGACAGTTTTAGGGGCCCAATAAGCATTTTTGCATTTCTTTCAAATAACATTAAAAAAAAGTACGGTGTTTTAACCATATGGCTGTTCTGTCCAGTCTCTGGTACCAGTCCATTATCCTATTATCATATTTGTTACCAAAAAAAAAAAAAAAAAAAAAAAAAAATTTTTTTTTCCATATATCCTTTTTTATCCTTTTTTTTTTTTTTTTTTTTTTTTTTGGATCTGGTCTCAACCATAGACTAGATACATGTAGGGGGTCAGGCGTTTTGGGAACGCCGGACCCCCAGGAGCAAAAAATTCCGACCGGATTTTGGCAAAAAAAGTCAG